CAGGTGACATCAACATAAATATATCATAGGGCCACCTCGATGCACAAGTCACAAATATCTTGAGATAATCGTGCAACATGGTTTATTGCCTGGACATAGATTCAATACCAAAATCAACAGCTGTATAGATCACGTTTTCGCTAATCTTTACCCCAATAAGTACTCCGCTTCGATAGCGGTCCTAGAAGCCACTACTTTCGACCATTCCATGGTTCTATATCTACTCAAAAAGCGATGTTAGTTACAGAAAATCTACAAAAGTATTTATTGACTTCAAAAGTGCAGTAAATACCCTAAGTGATAACGTTCTGGTTGAAGTTATTAAAATAGAAAACCCAAACACTTTGTCTGAAAAATTAATCGAAATAATTAACAACTCGTTTTCGTTGCCTAGAAAACTGCAATGAAGTGGACGACATAAATGACAAGCTTGTGGAAACTGTCCATGCAGTCGGAACTAAGTTCTGTAAGACCCATCGCAGAAGATCACAAAAACTCTCCGATCACACTCTTAATCTCATGGCTGTTAGACGAGAGATGAAGCTGCAGTCGTCAGCAGATTTGACAGCATACAGGCAAATGAACAGACATCTCCAAACACATGTGGCGGGACTTACGCAACTTTAATACAGTTCGTATTGAAGGAGAGATTGGGCGGAATCAGGGCTTCAAAATCTTTGCCAGAGATCTGTCTGTCAGAAGGAGACAACTGTAAAATCTGAAGACTGAATGTGGCAGATGCTGCCACATTCGGTCTTCGGCAGATGTTTTCGGGACATCTGAGATTCTGAGTGAGATTGAGAGGTTCACTAGCTACCACTTATCATCAGGTAGCTGAAAACTTCAATTAACAATTTCATTGGGAATCGAATTGAACTCGAATCGAAAATCGAAAAATCGAAATGACGACTCAGTGGCGCAGTGGCTTAACAATGAGTGTCTGTGCTGGGGATCGTGGGTTCGAATCCCGCACAGAACAAGTATTTGTATGGCCTACAAATTGTTGTTCCGGGTCTGGATGTTTGTCCTTATGCAATTTATGTTTGTAAACTGCTCCCACGATACAAGAGAAAATCTTAGTGTAAGGGTAACGTTTTTTAAAAAAAAAGAAAAATGATCAAATGATCAAATGATTTTAGTAGCTCCCTATACGCAGAACAAAATAAAAATTCTGTCGCCACAAAGCAATGCAAGTGTATGGTACCAACTCCAACGGACTACTAAGCAGAAATAAGTCATACTACGAGTAGCAGTAAAGTGAGTACTTCTACCAGAGTACTTTTACCAAAATTAAGCAGGAAAAGATGTGAGAATGATACATAGCTCAACGAGTTGCAGGAAAAAACAAATTAAATAAATATCTTTATTAAAAACTTTTTATATATGGCTAATAGAAATGTGTTAAATAGGAAAGGCCACGAGCCGCGTAAATTTTCAAGTGCACACTTTAGTTAAAATACGAGCCGAGTGCGGCACAGTCGCTGAACGTGAAGCTATTTTTAAAAGGAGACGTTTGCTCTCTTCGTTAACAAGCACATCGCTGAGGTAATCTGTGTAACGTGTTACCGGATTTTGAGATCAAAATTTTAAGTTAAGCAGAAATCCCTCCTTTTTAATTTCATCGCTATATTATTTTAACGGTAGGACCACGCTTTCACAGAATAACAACGTAAAATATCAGAATACTGCTGTGCTTCGTATGGTAAATGTAGAGAACCGGAGACCTTTTTTCCTGGTAACTAGGCATTCCGTCTGAGTCCTCTTGAGTGACAACGTATTTTGATTTTGATACTTAATCCGGGGTATATGTAGATGTGTATGGGTCACAGCATCCACTTACCCTCGGATGGCCTGTGTGCGTGTTTGTCACCCTTACTATATAAAAAGTGTGTGGTCATCATTCATTATAACTTAGATTCCATTTATGATTTAAACGAAAAAAATATAATATTTTTTATATTATTCAACTAATCAATAATTATCGTTTATATATAATACATCACCTATAAAATATAGTATATCATGAGTAGTTGCCATCTAAAATATTCAAAATTTATGTTACGAGTAGAAAATGGCCATAAGATTTTTTTTAATTTTATCGTGTTCTTAAATTATTTCGAACTTTAACAAAATAAAATTACAGTCCGTATATGTGCCACAGTTAAGCGCAGACCTTCTTTCAGTTCTGAGAGGGTTTTTTAGTGCAAGAAAGTTAGCGGACTTTACATTTCTTCGAAATATTTTATTAATTGTCCAGACATGCGGCTTACCTCATGACGTTTAACGCCGAGCACGTGGCAAATCAGCACTTAAAATTCCAGTTACCATTACATTGATGACGCCGAGGATCGAACCCGGGATACTCGCATTTACTGTGAAATTAACACGGCTCTTATTTTATCTTGTACGGTATTATCCTTTATTAGATTTGGGTGTTAATTTAATTGCAAATTTAATGCCGTTTGAAAATGTAAAGGTTTTGACAGGTAAATTAATATAACAAAATCCTTTGATATTTGCCGTTTATTTGCTTTTGCGTTCCCAAAAATTAAATGAACGGTATTAATTTTATCTGTTAAATTAAATGAAATTTTATAAAGGTATAAATTATGCTCTATATACATAGTAGAGTCACACTGCTGCTATAATATGACTCAAGCACGAATGGGTGGGCTAGAGCGGTGAAGGAAGCACGGTGGGCATATCACCGTGAAACATCGGAATACGAGTACGTGTAGAAAACCAAAGACTTTATACTCAAGGTTAACTGCGCATCTGTATTTTGATTTTTACTCTGCCGCAGCATCTACTAACCATCAGGTGATATTTGTACTCGCTTGTCACCCCAATTCCATAAAAAGTTCCAAAGTTTAATATATCCTATGAAATTGGCGTAATTTTTAGTATAACTTCTTCCTTATTACAGAGAATCATAGACCAACGCCCAACACAGTCATTTAGTAAGTTACTAAGTTAAGTAAGTAAGGGCGGATTCGACCAAACGAGAGTAAATTTTATTCTTAGAATAAATTGCTATTTACTCGAGAGTAAGCTCAATTTGCATTCTACCAATAATTAACCCATGGCTAAAGTCACTACACGAGAGTATACTTTATACGGCCGATTTTGGTGGAGTAAAACCTTAAACCAGGAATAATGAAATGTCAAAATGTTAGGTTATGTACATTTATCTTGTCAAAAATCATTAGTCCGTGTTGATATTCCTTGTTTTTATGTGGTTTTAAATCAAAAGCTCGCCAAAATGGAAAGGTTGAGAAATATAATCGAAGAATCTGATAGCGACGATGATTATGTGCCAAGGCGTCCAAGGTGGATAAAGGAAAGAGCTAATCACTTCGAAGATTATGATGACAAAGACTTCGCTGTTAGATTTCGTCTATCCAAGGAGGCCACTCTTTGTTTGCTAACTAAAATTGAGCATAAGTTGGAATATTCGTCAAACCGGTGAGTAGGTACATTGTCTGGTACTTACCTATAAATAATGTAGCTATCTGTTTAGTATAGTATCCGTCCACCTACTTGTTTATAAACTTTATCATTAAAACAATATTCAAAATGGCTGGTGGTCTACCTCCAGAATGTTCGACCCATTCTTAAGTCAGTTTGTGACTGCATTGGTCTTGATTCTAACATAATCAATTTTATTTTACAGAAATTTCTCCATATCACCGATAAATCAGTTGTTAGCAACTTTGAGGTTCTATGCAACTAATTCTACGCAGATGAGTATTGGTGACTATGGAGGTATGAGTACCACCACTGCAAACAAAATTGTACATCAAGTAACTGCTGCAATAGCCTCCCTACACAAAGACTTTATAAAATTTCCTGAAACAAATTCTGAAATAAGGAAAGTACAAGAAGACTTTTATCAGATAGCCCGCTTTCCAAGAGTAATCGGTGCAATGGATTGCACACATATTCGAATTGCCTCTGTTCCGTTACGGTTACAGGTAGGTGGTGAACAAGCCGAATTATTCCGTAATAGAAAAGGATATTTCTCCATAAATGTGCAGACAATCTGCAATGCTAATCTTGAGATTATAGATATAGTAGCTAGATGGCCTGGATCATCTCATGATAGCAACATATTTAACAATAGTTACAGGAAAGCACAATTTGAATATGGTACATATGGTAATGCAGTATTGGTAGTAGATGGGGGATATGCATCAACCTCATACATGATGACTCCTTTAGAGAATCCCAGTGGACCAGTGGAACAGCTCTACAATGAATCACAAATCAGGACACGAAATCCTGTGGAACGCAGCTATGGATTATGGAAGAGGCGCTTTCCTGTGCTTGCATTTGGAATGCGTATAAAACTGGAAAGAATTCTGAATGTTATCATCGCTACAGCTGTTTTGCACAACATTTTGAGACGTCGAGGAGAACAAGTACCCCCAGATGATCCAGAAATTATCCCCCCTGCCCCCTGGAATGAAATTATAAATGATGGACAGATACCCTCTGTTGTCGATGCAGGATCTACCCGAGAATATAGGGCACGAGATGCATTAATATCAGATTACTTTCAAAATTTATTGTGAAAAGGTTTTTGTTACTATTGGTTTTACAAGTTTGAATTATGGGTGTTTTTTTGTTACTAACATGTGTCCGTTATTTTAGCCCGGCCACCATTGAAACCAAACTTTGTGGTGTGAAAGACTGACTATCTTGAGACAGTTATAGGCAGTTTTTATACAGTTTATCACACCGGCAAAATTATGGGTTTTGAAGGTGGGTAAGCCAAAGGAACGGACACTACTAACATAGTATGTAAGTTTATTGTTACCAAAAAAATAAATGTTATTAAAAGCTATAAATACAAACTAATCATGGCATGTTTTATATTTTTATTAAATTATTTGAATCATTTGGTTTTAGCGACGCATACACACACCAACAGTCATTGATATTTATCAAATAGGAAATTAGGTACATTATTAGTAGTATATAAGGTAGGAAATTAATTATTACATTTCCTCTGAATTTTCCTTGTTCTCTTCTTGATATTCACTCTGTTTTTGTCTTAACTCCAACAATAATAGCTCAGTTTTAATTTTTTCCTGTTTTAAAATTTCTTTTTTAATATCAAGTTCTATTTGCGCAATTAGTTTTTTTTGGTCTGCTTCCTTCCTTTTTCTTTCAGAAATTTTTCAATATCTCCAGTAAATCAGTTGTTGGCCACTTTGAGATATTATGCAACAAACTGGACACAAACAAGTATTGAAGACTACTGTGGTCTAAGTACACCGACAGCAAACAAAATTGTACACAGAGTTAGTGCTGCAATAGCTGCATTACATACAGAATACATAAAATTTCCTGAATCGCCTCAAGAAATAAGATATGAACAAGATAAATTTTACCAAATAGCTCGTTTTCCAAGAGTAGTCGGAGCCATGGACTGTACACATGTTCGCCTCACATTTGTACCCTTAAGACTGGAAGTAGGTGGAGAACAAGCAAAGACATTTAGAAACAGAAAAGGATACTACTCCATTAATGTGCAAACAATATGTAATGCCAATTTAGAAATAACCGACATAGTCGCAAGATGGCCAGGTTCAACTCATGACAGCACTATATTTAATAATAGCGTTCGAAAAGCACATTTTGAGACTGGTCGCTATGGTAATGCATTATTATTGGTGGACAGAGGATATGCTGCAAAGAGTTATACTATGACTCCATTAGAAAATCCAAGGACACCAGCTGAACAACTGTACAATGAGTCACAAATTCGTACTAGAAATCCTATAGAAAGGTGCTATGGTGTATGGAAGATTTCCAGTGTTGGCACTTGGGATGTGAGTAAAATTAGATAAAGCACTAACTGTTATCATAGCCACAGCAGTACTTCACAACATGTTGCACAGACGAGGAGAACAACTTCCACCTGATGACCCAGAAGTGCTATTACCAGCTCCATGGGATGAACTTATACAACTTGGCCAAATGCAAAGCTTGGAATCAGCACAGCAATCTACTGGCCAGTTAGCACGCAATTCGTTAATAAGTAATTATTTTTATAGTTTATTGTAGCTATGGAATGTAGATTGCAGTGATTCTTAATATTATTAATCCAAATTTGAAAAAAGATATAAATTAAAACATTGAAATAAATAAATTTAATATTTTATTGTTGAATTGCTTTTTCTTTAATCTTAAATCTAATAACAAAATATGAGTCTTTAATTTTTCTTGTTTTAATTGTTCCCTTTTTTATTTGTAAATCCAGATTGTGAACATCATTTGAATGAAGTAGCTCCTTCTCAGCAACACTCTTCTGAAAATCAATTGCTTCCATTTTCTTATCATGCAATTTCTGCAATGATGATGAAGGAGCTACATATGTAGGTCGCCTTCTTGAAACCCAAGATTTTTGTAGTTTTCCTTCTTGCTCATTGTTGTCATACTGAAGAGGTTTTGCAACAGGAGTTCTTAACGTTTCGGGAGTATAATCACTCCAATCCTAAAACAAAGATTTATATTAAAAATGTTAACAACATAATGCCCATATAATATTTCATCTCACAAAAAACATTTAAATGATAAAATTAAAAACAAGTCTACTACAATGTTGGAACACAAATTATAGGCAAGTCGGGCTTTCTTTATTTGACAGCGCAAGTTGCAGCATGGCAAGCATAGAAGATATATAGAAGTATGCACATTTGTTAAAAAGAATATGCACCTTTTTTCAATATAAACCCGGCCTCATTTTTTACATCCTATTAAAAAAATTAGCTCCACCTATCACAAAATTACAAACAGTTAAATCAGAACCCCATGGTATGTGTGTAAAAATTTATAATAAAATTCCCAAATGTCTACAAAAAGAAGAATCGTTGTATAAATTTCAAAGAGTGCTTAAAAAATATTTAATTGAAAAAAGTTTCTATTCGTTGTCAGAGTTTTTCTGGTGAAAAATAATAATTGTTTAATTTGAATATGTATACCTCTTTAATATCGTTGTAAATATTGCAAATGTTTATTAAACCTAAAAGTAATGTTTAGTTTAAGTAAATAAAATAAAATTCATCTTTTTAAATTAATTAGATTAAATTGATATATAACATAATATAATATTGTTACGCCCTATCAGGGCTCATGTTTGGCTCTAATATATCCAACATAAGAACTATTTATGTAACCACATGAACGCAATAAAATGTTTGAGTCTGAAAATGACAGACTTTGCTTTACCTACTCCGAACTATTTATTGTAATGGAGTCAAGATACTTATGTTTAGCAAGTTATAACAAAACATAGCATATATTTACTATATACTATGGGTTGCTTCAGGAGTACAATGTATAGAGCTACAGAAACTAATTTACCTGCATTAATACTTTGTTCGAGTCGATCCCAGTCTTTTGAATTTCATTAAGTTCAGTCTCAAAATCTGTAACCAAATTTTAAAGGTATAACAATTTTGTATGGTTTCTCTAGGGTCCTTGACAAACCATACAAAATTACCATGCAAAATTATGCCTCTCTAAGCTATCTGGGGCAACACTGTCACTGTCAAAATGGTTGAAAAGCCCAACAGCACTTGTTCTAATTAATGATATGATTTTGGAATCTAGAGGATCTTCTTTCTTTGGATTTGTTGGTCCACCACCTAAAATAGACAAAATTATTAAAGTAAAAGTATTTAAAGTATGCCATTTCTCACATTTTCAAAATATTTCTAATATAAATAATAATCCCATTATGTAGGAGACAAAGGAAATAAATCACTTAATCAGAACGCAGCATTGTACTATCAAGTGCTTAATAATAATGGTACATTGAACACCTAAAGATCTCTGGGATAAGCATGTTCCCAGTAGTGGCTAACACTATATAAATGTATGTAGGCATATCTCAGTCCGCTGCTCCTCCAGTTATAAGCTCATAGTTACTCCTGTCCATATTTCTAATGTATACCAAAGATTTATAGGTTTTTAGCCTAAATAACTGGATCAACACAAACATTGATAAGGTAAGGCAGGATAAAAACTAACCTGTTTGGATTCTATGCATCCTCTTGTATGACTCCTCCTTTTTGGCCTTTTTTTCATATACTCCCACTCATTTTTTAAATTTTCTGCTGTACGCGAGCAGTGTGTCGTTTGGCTATTGTATTTTTGCTTCATCGTAACACCATCTGTTTTTTTTATTTTCGATGACACGAAAATGTTTTTCTACGAGTCCTAACAACAAACTTTTTTCCGAAGGTAACCAATTTGGGCTACGTTTTCTTTTTTCTCCAGACATTTTATTTGAAAATATAAGAATTAAGGGTAAGGTTAGAATAATCAACTGACAAGTCGCGTGTTAAATTTGTTCAGTGACAGTGACAGTTGACACTATTATAATCCGGCAAACTTTAAATAGACAGAAAGTCTTGCATTGCGCTATATAAACAAATGTATTTCGATTTTAGTTGGCTTACAAGTTCATTCATTTTTCATTCCCCAACTCTAGAGTAACAATACCCAATATTGGCTACTCTCCGTTTGTGTTGGAAAAACACACTCTAAATTATCCGAGAGTAAAAACAAGGAGTAAATTTATTCGAGGATTAGTTACTCTGGAGTAACATTGAATTTGGTCGAATCCGCCCTAAGTAAGTTTTGTAAATATTTAAACTAAAACAAATACAAGACAGTTTATTATGGTAATTCAGCCTAATATAATTTTAAGTAATTGGAGCGTGGCATAGATACTGTAGGGATAGACGAGGCCCCCAAGCTCAAGGGGCCTCTGCCTCCATGAATGACATTTGAAAAAAATATATAATGTCCTAGTTGTATAAAGAATTATCAACTTTTAATTTTCCTGGCCCATGACCTCGAAAGACTCGAACTGAAATTACAATAATTTCTCCCACCTCCAGAACATAAATATAACATTTTTGAAATAAAATTGTCTACTTCGTTTTATTTTCTTTTATAGAATAGGGGCAAATGAGCTTACTTAACTTAGTCTTAAAGTGCGCATGGCTTGGTTAACGGGTTAAGCTATTGCATAGCTTCTATCGCGGGCCTTGAGCGCGGGGACCGAATCCAGAAATTCCGTAACGTAAAAAACCTCACGCTCCCCACTCCGAAGGGCACGGAGGTGTGGCTTGAAGGCCGTGCATACACGGTGTATGTGTGCGTGCAACTAACAAACACACACACGCGTATAGTTTAAATTCTCAATTTAGATTCTCAATATGTATATACAGGGTAATTTTTAATTTACTGAAGACCTTTGGGAAATATATATTTACACCATAACAACAACATCTGTAAGAAAAAAAATATATTTCTTCAATTTTTATTTTCATACAAAAATAAAAATATTTTAATTGGAGCTTCTAAACGGTAATAGTCCTAGTTAGGCAGTTAGCAATAAAAAGCGCGTGGCGAGGGAGGGGTGGAGGGGTGTAGGAGGCGACGATACTCATAAACTTGACCTAATTAGTAACATGTGTCGTTTTTTTTCGCTTTTTTTTTGTGCGCGGTTTTTTGGGTGGTTTTTGGCGGGAATTTTCAGGTTGTGTGGTGGCTAAAGCTATCACAATTTTCTCACCGACACGCTACCGGAATTGTTAGAGGATATACCACTTGCATCTCTATGCAATATTTATTATCAACTTGACGGGGCACTGGCGCATTATGCTCGTCAAGTTAAGGATTATTTAAACAGAGGCTCCTGGACGATCATGCTGGCCTCCAGATCGCCAGATATTCACACCAATGGATTTTCATTTGTGGGGGCATGTAAAGACATTAGTGTATACTGGTCGCACACTCGAAACCCGCGACATGTTGAAAGAAAAAATAATTTGGGCATTCGATCAAATCAAAATGAATACTCAACTTTTATCTCGTGTCGGTGAACAGTTAACTTTTAGGTGTCACCTATGCATAGAATGTGGAGGTGATTATTTTGAATGCTATGTGCGCGAAATTCACCGCCATCCGCGGACGAGTACCTCTAATTCTAATGTATAAATTTGTATTTTAATATTTTTATTGAACCCTTTTTACCTAAATATTTTTATTCAATTACTGTTGTAAAATGTGTGTTAATATCTGTATTTAATCATTATAACTATTTTATTGTAATATTTGTAATTATTTTAACCCGCATCCATTTTTTAAATACAACTTGCATTTAATAAATAAAAAATAGCTAATAATACTCGACATTTAATTTGCACGTGCTGCGAACTGAAAAGGGCAGGCGGCGCCTTTGATGACGCCTGTATCGACGTCAAAGTATACCTTTGGCTTGGCCTTGGGCAGTGATCGTAACAAACTACCTAATTGTTTAATGTCTATAAATTCGTAAACAAATTAATAAAATAATCAAATAGTCAATCAAATTGCTTTATGCAAAAAAAGGAGTATATGAAAAGTTAATGTAAATTTGTCATTTGGAGCGGCGCCCTGGTACCATAGGCAGAGTGGTGAATAGTTTAGTAGGCAGTATAAAAAAGTACTCTGTGGGCAGTAGGCACTCGCAACACAATCAGCTGAACGCGAGCGTCGACCGGCGCGGCGGCGCGTCGAAGAGGTTACATTATAATTATCTATTGCTCATTTTAATATTTGTGATTTTTTAATGTTATTTGCCTATCTAATTATGTATATTGATTTTTCAACATGATGTGTGATACTGATATTAAGTGAAAAATAAAAAAGGCATTTTATGTGACTATGTATTCTAAAATTGTTTAGTACTACAAAATACAGGCTTAAAAGGAGTCAGACATGACAATAAAAACTTAAAAGTAGCTTTTTATGTATTACATTCTGTAAAGAGTGATCTCGCTAAAATCGTTTGTAATTATGCCACCATTATATTCCCAAAAGGTCTTTAGTAAATTAAAAATGACCCTGTATTATATAAATATATATATATATATATTATATATATATATATATATATATATATATATATATATTATAGGGTAGTGTGACAAACGAGCATACAGTCCACCTGATGGTAAGTGGTTGCTGTGGCCCATAGACATCTACATCTATCCTCGATTACGAATCAAAATGCAGATGCGTTGTCACCCGTGAGGACTAAGATGGAATGCTTCGTTTCCAGTAAAAAGGGTCTCCGGTTCTCTACACTCACCATACGAAATACAGCAGCATTAAGCTACTATTTCACGCTGGTATTCTGTGAGAGCGTGGTCCTTCCCCGGTCGAGCCCACCCATTCGTGCTACAACTATACTACTAATATAACTGCAGCATGGCTCTACCACGTATATAAATATATATATATATATATAAATAAATTCATTCTTCATTATGTATATAACAGAAGCCATCGTGTACTATTCAGTACCTTTGTTTTTGGTGTATAGATAATGCACATTAATGCCGCGCAGAGAAAGTATATATGTTATTATATCTATATAAATGTACATCGCGCGAAATTCGATATTCACTTCTTAATATCGTTATTTTTTTTAAATGAATAATTTTGTTTTGGTGTGTCATTACACTATTTATACCTAATTATTTATACCTATTATTTATACCTAGATAATTTCGTTTTATAGAGAAGAAAAGCGTAAAGAGCTAAAAAAGAAAAAAAAACTAATGCACGTCAAAGGGCATATTATCAGCGTCAGAAAGATTTGAAGAAAAATGAAGAAAAAAAAAGAAACAGAACCAAAATCAAATGCTGAACGTCAAAGGAAATTTCGTCAACATAATACAGAAAAATCTTACATGGGTATGTAATTTGATTTAATAATAATATGTTTAAGCTATTGCATAGCTTTTGTCGCGGGCTTTGAGTGCGGCGACCGAATCAAGAAATTCCGTAACGAAAATAAACCTAACACCCTAAAACCTAACATCGTCTAACGTCGTTTAAGTTCGGCAGACTTCTGCACGGTGTTTCCGTGTGTGCTACTAGATGTATGCGTGTAGACTAGTTGCATCATGCAACTAGTCTACACGCATACTACTTATATTTTATATACTTATATTTATACTTGCATGTATTGTACGATAACAAAAAATATTTTAAACAATAATATAGTTTATTGCAAGAAGTATATTCTTTGGATTTATATGTGTCGTCGTCATGCTAGCAACTTTCGTGAATTTAGAGTATTTAATAAACACAGACTTTATACTTAAATACATTTTTTATATTTATATATTATTTTTGATGGCACGTTTGTCGCAGTGGCTGAATCACCCGAATGCAGCGTAGCGGATCATGGGTTAGATTCCTGCATGGAGCAAACATTTTTGCTAAAAAAGAAAAAATACTACATAAATAAAATAAATAAATAATTATAATTGCATAAGTTGATAAAAATGCTATGCAATAGCTTTACCGCGGCAGTCACCGAGTGCCACACGTATTTTTTAGATAAGAATTGAAAACATATCATAAAACACTCAAGCCTGTCATCCAGAGGGGTAGGCAGAGACAACGGACTTCCATTTGGCACGATCTTGACATACCTCTGTCG